CATTTAATGCAATATTGTCCAGAGATTTTTGTAATCTTGACTTTTTTGTAATTAAATTCGCACAAATTATGTAATTATGTACGTTTTTATTTTTTCCATATTAAACTTTTAATTTACTGTTTGAGTTAGATATTTTTTTTAAAAGTTAGATTTTTTAGGGTTGTAATTAATTACTGTGAGATATTTGTGGAGGGAATAAAGATTTGTAAAGAAATTTGTGGGGGAGAGATGTTGATTTTGAAACATGAGAAAGGTACTACAGTAATTTCACATTTAAAAATTATGAAATTATTAATAAATAAGGAAGAACGGGGTCATAAATTAGTTTTTTTTTAAAATGGGGTCATAAATTCAAAGTGAATTATGGGAGGGGTCAAAATTTCAAATTTCCCCTGAAATTTGTTGAAGGCCAACACAAAACAGCCGGTTGGAGAATTTGAATAGCTAAACCAAACCAAAACCAACTGAAACCATGATTTTAAGACACCCAAGATATGTCCAAGTTAAAACCCAGGTTACTTTGTAAAAAAAAAATAAAAAATAAAAAATAAAAAAAAGAGGTGCAACAACTTCGATTCTCTTTCTACCATAGCACCAACCAATTAATATTATGGGTGGCTGTGCTGAACCTAGCCACAGAATTGAAACCAAGCCAATTGAAGAATATATATGATTTGTTAAATTTTCATCCACACCCACCCTCTGTTTGGCTATTTATTTGTTTGGTAATTTATGGTTTTGGATTTGGCTTCAGCTTTGGCTTTGTGATTTCTATGATGTTCACGAAGACAGAAGAATTTCATAATTGACTTTGACTTCTATGGGTTCATTGAGAGAGAGGATATGGAGCTCCATTTCATGTCATTTTGAAAACCTTAAATATATTTCACATCTAGTAAAGTTCCACTAGCAAACGATTACTCATGCAATAAAACAATGTATTTCCATTCATACTTAATGCCATCACATACATTTAGCAAAAAGGAAAGTTTTAAAATATTAATGACTATGCCTAGTACAAACCTTTAAGGATTCCAGACGGACAATACACCAATTTCTAGTAATCAATCATTAGTTCAACGATGGATTGAAATGCAAAACAAGTCAAAAAGCAAATCCCATTAAGTATATATATTTTCCAAGTGACTGATGCTATGAACTCTTTGATGAGATGATTGGATTGCTTTACTGTTCATTCCTGTCAATAATGGGAGCTCTTATTATTCTTATAGCAAGACATCGCAAATCTTGTCTTTGAAGTTTTGTTTATCATGGCCATCTTGAAAATGATCTGTAAGATATCAAGTTTTCCTCGTTGGACTAATGAAGTTGAAAAGTTTGTTGTATGTGTGAACCAATGGAAATATATCGGTGCATGAGTTGTTGACACTGATTGAGCTTTTTTTTTTTTCTTGACACTTCAATCCTTCTACTATAGGCCATCTTGGAGTATCAGTAAAGCATTTGAAGTCTTCTAAAACCTTAGATAGTCAAACAGAAAATGATGAAGATCAGTCTCGAGTAGCTCAGATGAATCAGAGGTACTCCCATTTTTCTTAACAAAGGGACATCATACTATACCCTTATTCACTTTTTTCTTGAAAAATACTATAGTTTGAATATTTTTAGCCAACGTAGATGAATGAAACGATTTCTTTGAAGAAAGGATTATGTTGCACATTGGCTTAGTCTTGTGGGGTAGCTAGTTGTAATTTGATGATGAATCTTTCATGTTTGTTAATGCTATATAGGTGTTGGAGGTCCTTTCCTCTCTGGAAAAACAAATCAACTTGATTTCTAAGAGGTAATTTATAATTATTTCTAAGAGGTAATGACTGTTTTTGCAGTATAGTTCGTGTAAAGTGATGTAAATTATTGATGGAACTTTATGGTCCTAATAAAGATGATGATAGATTCTAAAATTACGAATATTAGGGTAATTCATAATATGTTAAGATTCACATCATTTCTCCAATATTTTCCCTTTCCAACTATTTGATTTTATTTTATCATTTCTCCCTTGTTTTTCTTATCCCTCCAAATTTAGGAGTTGGCTATCTTTTCTTGAATTTAGATGATTATTTTGGTCACGTATGGTTGGATTCTAAGTGTAACATTTGAAGTGTTTTATACCTCCCCATGATATGAAGCTGTTAGTATCTAAGAAGCACGGACACGGACACGAGACACGAACATGGACACGACAGGACACGGCGATACGTCAATTTCTAAAAAACTAGGACACGGACACGCTGGGGATACGTTATTTATTTATTATTTTTTTTAGGATATAGGTAAATTTAACATAAAAATGCTAAATATACTTCGCTAAAAAACATAAATGACAACTAAATTTATTGGGTTGAAGATGTACCCACTAAAAAGCATAAAAATAGTAAATGTAATCCACCAAAAAAAATCCTAGAGAAATATTTGAATTTGATTATTGGGTCGAAGTTGTCATCCTAATTTAGTAAAACATATTCTACTCCAGTTTAATTCATATGAAATTAGGGAAAAAAGGAAGTAAGAATAGAGCTTATTTAATTTAACTCACACAAACAGAAGGGTGGGTCACTAGGTAGCGTTTTAGGGTTTTTTTTTTTTGTAGTTTAAGTTTTTGAGATTTCAGCCAAACTTCTTGGACTTCCAAAATTGGGCTAAGGAAACAATATTTTTTTATCTGGCGTGTCCCTCCCGTGTCCAAAACGTGTCCCCACGTGTCTGAAATTAAAATAAAAAATTTAATATTCGAATACTTTAAATTGCGTGTCGGACACGTGTCCGGACGTATCCGTGTCCGACACGTGTCCGACACAGACACTCCTCCTTTTTTGCCGTGTCCGTGTTTTATAGGTTAGTATAGTTGAATATCTCATTAGAACGAATTTCAGTAAACAATGATCTCACAATTCTATTGCTTCATGCCCAGCTTAATTTTCTTTTCACTTTGAGTTTTGGACTTCGCACTTCTGTTAATAAAGAAGACTATTTCTGCATCTTGAGTAAGATTCAGTAAGTAATTATGTCTATTGGTATTATTTGTGTTTTAAATCAACTTTTTTATCTACATGTCTATTTTTAGCTTGTTTTGATAGGGAGGCCAATCCAAGGTAATATCTTGATTGATAGTCATTTAGTTGTTGGTATGTTCTGTTTGACCTATATAGATATATAATCTTTTAAAGATATAAATGGAAGTAGATGGAAGATTCATTTCATTACTACACTTCAATAGTTACAGCGGCCAAGAAGATTCAATTATTGACCAAAAAAAGGGAAAAAAAAAACATAAATGGAATCCCATCCAATGCATTCTAATTGTTCAACCTCCTCTTTCTTCAAACACAAAGCATCATCAAGAACTTTCTTTGGAGTAGAAGAAAGCTGCCATTAGGAGATTTTCTGTTTATATTTTGGTAGAGTAAAAGTGGAACAACTTTTTTGGAGTAGAAGTGAATTCTACAATTTATTTGGTAAAAAAAAAGATTCTTTTCTTTGGTAAAAAATTTTATTCTTGAATTTCTTTGGTCGATGTATTATGATCCCTTGCTTACCGAATATTGGTTATTTAGATTTCTCATTAGCTTTTGTTCATTTGTTTTATTGATTGTTCTGGGGGAAGAATCTGAAAGCAACGGTGAGAGCAATCAAAAGGGGAGTTAGCTCACTACCATCTCTCCCTTTTCTCTCCTCTAATATATTGCTCTACTTTGTAAATGTTTTATATTCTTCTGAATTGTTCTTTTCTTTGTAATTGTAATTGCATTTAATCCAAGTCTTAAACTCTATAAAAACAAGCTCATCATAATAATGTTGCACTAATCCATTAAATGCTGCAATGAGAATGAGGTAATTTATTTGAGCTTTCTTATTGCACTAAATTGATAATTAAGGTGATCGAAAATTGTCACTTGATAGTTTCAACTGTCAAAGGAACTTAATATAATGATTTAAGTTTGAGAAAACTGATGACATCTATTTGAATTTCAAGCTAGCACTTCAATTTCTCAGGGGTGAAAGGATTCTTGTGCTGCTGTTGTTGCTTTTTGGGTATTGTAATTGGGAAGAGATGAAAGGATTTTTAAGATTTGAGTTTGAATAAGCACTATCATGAAAAGTATGCTATCTATTTCATTTCCCTTTCATGTCTTTCATGTTTTTCATGTCATCGTTGTGCTTTTTTCTTTTTTGGACTTTTAGAAAGCTATTGCACCAAAAAAATGGTAGAAGTTTCTCTAGGACTACCTTATCTTAAATTTTATAGCAATATTCTGTTGTGTAAAGATTGATATTTACGTATCGAGTACTTGTTAACTAAATAGATGTGTCTCATATTAGTTGGACAAAGTGGACACTTGTTATAGGCACATATCGAACACTTGTTAATTATAAGACATAAATAGTAACATAAATTTTGAAGATTGTCTTCAAGTGTTTTGAGATTTTGCTCTCCCTTTCAAAGTTTCAAGTTGATGCTCTGCTCTTATTCGCCCATTTAGAATGAGGCTTTGTTGTTAGTGTTTTAACTCAATTATTTTTTATTGAGGAAAATAAGATTGAGTTAGAACACTTACAATAAAGTCTCATCCTACACTGATCGCACATACCTTCAAAGTTTTGTCATCTTAATCATTTGAATAGTGAAACTTTAGATTCACATACCCATCATAGTTTTTGTTGAGAAATTTTCTATCTTGGTTAATGGTGCTTAATTTTGTTCATGTACATTATAGTTTTCTCTCTTTCTTCTCAAGCTATTTAACATCAATTTGATATGAAATTTTGAGAGAAGCTCTAGTTTAGATTTTCCTATATGACTGTTGCCTCTATGTACGTTTAGTTGGTTTTAATACGATTCCATCATTTCTCTTTCCTTATCATTGCGCATCATTGTCTAATGTGTAAAAATTGTCCCACTAACACTAGCATCCAAAGTTTCATGAAAACCACCATCAATTAAGTTTGGCTGGGTCATAACGGGATAGATGAAGGTTTTAGTTTCATGGCTTTCAGCAATTTGTGATGTTTTAAGAATTTGTATGCAATTGTGGTTCATGGGTCCAAAAATCTATAGGTAAATCGTTCGAATATCACCTTATGCAATTTGAGGAATGTTGGGTTCAATTTTGGAAAGGATTTCTTTGCTGATACCATGGGATTTGTCTGTTGTCACGAGTTATTTGTTTGTTGTCACGAGTCTAGCTATTGTCATATGTGAATCATTTACATTTGTTTGTTGTCATGTGTCTTAGCTACTGTTTGAGTTTTTTCGAATCTAATTGTCTTATCCTTCTAGATTTGTCTTTTTTCACGTCAAAATTGCATAGAATTTTTTTTTAAACGGCCCATGATACAAGTTTATTGTACAAATAATCTCTTTGGTCCAAAAAATAAATAACAGGAACAATCATATCTGCCTACATTCATCTTTATCCTGAAGTTATTGGTTATTTTATTCACAATATTTTCATGCAATGATTTCAAGTTATGTTTCTATTTTTTCATTTTCAACTTTTGAGTTTTTACTTGTGGTTTTGTCGAATTTCCTTATCACTGCATCTTTGGTGTGTTTTCAAAGACAGTTGGAAGAATTAAAGCAACACAAGGATGATGATCTTCTTAAAGGTCAATTAGTGAAGAGCCAAAGGGTATGTCAATAGTTATGTGCTTGAATTTCATGTTCTACTTATGAAATTCATTTTTAAGTGCAATTGAATAAATTTGCTGAAGTTCTGTTTGCTTTTCAAAGCTTCCTGGTTAGTCTAAGCTTCCAAGAATATTTCCTTTCTGGTTTTAGGCTTTGTGGGATAGAAATCTTGAGTGAGGTTTTTGCTTCAAAAGGAATTCTCTGATTCAAATAGATAGTCAAAGGTCTTTGGGTAGGAAACTACAATTCCTGAAATCTATTCTTTTATACTGTTGAGTAAAAATTTTGTTCAAAGTAGTCAAAGTAGGAATGGACTTATTTAGTTACTTGTGTATTATTAGCAAGTTTAAGCTTATTATTTGGATGTTTCTGTACTTTTTAGAGCTGAGCTAACCTTTCAAATTGACTCATATCCTTGCATTCTTGTTTTTCTTTGGGGGATTAGAAATGACAGTGTATTGAAAAAGTTTTGGATAGTACAATTGCATGACTATTGATATGAACATTTCTTAGGTTTACTTATGTTCATGTTATGTAATAGTGAATATTGTTATTTATTTCGCGATTGGTATTTACTATTTTTTTTCTATTTTCTTGAAATGCTTTTGTAGGTGAATGAAATGATACCAGTGCATATGGATCAAAGATTGCAACTCATTTTCTACCCCATATTACTTTATTCTTCAGAACTTGGTGAAAATTTGTAATTTTGTGAACTAGTAGTTGGAAATTAGTTTTGGTAAATTTATATAACATTGTTTCTCTTGCGAAATATTGAATTATGAATGCTTTATTTTGTGATGTAATAGATAATAAAACTTCATTTATATAAAAGATGTGATGGTATATTTAATGTGTCAAGTTGGTGTTTTTCTATGTTTATTCAACTACTGACAAGTTTTAAAGTAAATTTGATTGGACTACACATAGTTTACATAGCAAAAGTTAAATGATGGAAGAAGTCGACCATGATAATTGTAGCAATGGGAAGAAATATAGAAATATATAATAATGCAATATAAAAGTTATATACACAATCTAGTAGCATAAATAAAAAGTTATTATAAGTTTAAGATAGGATAAAATTTGAGCTATAATAACTATTAATAGTCATATAATAGCACTAAAAAAGTTGAAGGTAACACATAAAATTAGCTATTATAGGTTTAAGATATCACAAAAACAAAGTTATCTAAACATATAATAGCGTTAAATTAGAACGCTATTAAATGTTTTAGTAGCAACGTATATATGCAATAATTTATTTATTTATTATAGCGTTAGTTATAGCCCTTGAAAAACGCTATCAAAAGTCATGAACTTTCAATAGCATTAGCTGTCACGACTCTCTAAAAATGCTATAAAAAGTCATTTATAGCGTTTTTCGTGAGCTATCGTATCTACTTTTTCTTGTAGTGATAGTAGCTAACAACTAACAAATCATATACATTAATAACAAAAGTGCAAGGAAAAATCCCTCTTATTTATACGTTATGAACCCTTTTCTTTATTGTGATAACAAAAATTGCAAGGAACCACATCTAAAAGGATTTGGGAAAAGATTAACTTAACTTTGAAACTTATGAATAAAATCTAAAAGGGAAAATTAAATTTAATTTAAGATTTGTCATCAAAATCTTCCCTATCATTATTGTCAGAGATGATAGTTGGGTCTATGTCAGCTCTATGAAATTTTGTGTTTTGAGATCTACTTCTTCAACTACACATTAATTAATATATGCTTCGCATAAATCAACTTCATCTATTTTAGGTTTGTGAAATAAATTTCCTTCAAGGTCGACCTAGTAAAGGTAGGCTGACTGGGCGAGCTGGGTGGATCGGAATGAGTTGGATAATCACTTGGTAAGGAAGGACCCACACAAAGGAACAAATACTCCAATGCTCAAGTTAGTTTAGAGTTCAACCTTAGTATTGAGACCTAGCTGGAATGTGATACCTGACTGCATAGTGAGGCCCCTATTTATAGGTTTTGGTATCTGATAAGAAATCTGACTGGTAGATGGGAGTGTTGGGTCGAAGGTCGACTTGTCGGGCGCGCATGACCTGGGTAGGTTGATTTTCAATATCTTTTTGTCCAGAATGTGGCTAAGTATTGAACATCTTTCCTGTAGGGGAACGAGCATTTGGGACAAACCTGGTGGTTTGTCCACTCCCTATCCTCTATGTGGTAGTGTTCTTTGATGTCTCCAATATTGGCCCTCTCTTTAAGAGGCCAGGCCTCCGACCTGGTAGAGAAGTGTTTTTGGTGTTGGATCGGTATGGCAACCCTAGAGAGGGGGTGAATAGGGTTTAATTAACAAAATATTAACTTTTTAATAAATGGGCTCAATTTAAACAAAAATAATACACTTTTTGAGATACGCAATTTTAACWAAGTAAGATAAAATAMATTCTAAGGCAAACAAGAGAAATTTAAAGCAAACAATCAAATTCTAAGATTAATTGYAAAAATAAATAAGAGAGAGGGTTAGAGAAATTTGACACCGAGAATTTTTATAGTGGTTCGGCACAACTGTCCTACTCCACTTCCCAAGCACCTCTTGGGTTGTAAATTGAAATTCTGACTCTTTCTACGGTAGGAGTCAAACCGGTACACTGCTCTTCACAARAGCAAAGACGATCCTCTCCACGGTGAGGATCACACCGTTACAATGAGTTGAAGATTTTGAAACACACACTCACAAACTCTCAAATAGAGTAAATATACAAATTTGAGCTAAAAAATTTCAATCCTCACAACAATAAAATTTCTCTCACAAATAAGATGGAAAGAAAAATTGAGAACTTGGAGAGATTAGCAAAATGAAAATTTTGAAGTTATGGAGGATTGAGAATAAGAGAATTGTTGTATAATTTTGAATGAGAAGTTTAGTTTAAATAGAGGGAAGAAAATGGTAAAAAAAAATCAAATTTAATTTTAAACCATTAGATCTTAATCATTAAGAATGAAGGGTTGAGATAATTTTGAAAAAAATAAATTAAGAATAATATATATATAATAATGATAATAAAATAAAAAAAATATATATATAAAAAGTGATGTGACAAGTTATTTTAATTATATATATATATAATAATAATATATATATATATATATATGTGAGAAAACGGTAACTTTTCAAAATTTTTTTTAAACTGACAACATTTAATGTGAAATGACCTTTTTTTTTTAACAAAGTTACCAACGGTAACTTTTGACTTTTTATTTTATTTTTTATTTTTAATCTTTTTCTTTTCTTTTTCAATATATATATATATACTTTAAAAAGAAGCTTGTCACTTGTCAGCTTACGAACTGTCCACGTCATCTTCTCGAGTATTTTTCCTTTCAATTTGTTTCGATCGTAACTTCTCCGTTTGAGCTCTGATTTGGATGATCTAACCGTCGTTGGAATCGTTGTAACGAACTCTACACTGTGGACACTTTAAAATACAAAAAATATCAATAAATAAAATTAAGTTTGTTATCATCAAAACATTAATTAATTAATTAATTAAAATTAAGTAATTTGAGATTAAGGCCAAAAAGCCAACAATCTCCCCCTTTTTTATGATGACAAACTTCCAAATAAAAATACATAGACATCATAGTAAATCCAAAATATCATACTTACTTAAAAATCATTCAAAGATTAATTTCTCCCCCTCAATTGATACATCCATGGATTAATAAACCAATAAATCATGAACATTTTTAGAACAAATTTTTCTTAAACTTCTCCCCCTTCGGAATCATCAAAAAGAACAAAAAAAAATAATTAATAACATAAAAAACTCCCCCTAAAAATATGAACACAATTTTGCATAAATGTTCTCCCTATCAATATGCATTTAAAAAAAAATAACAAATACAAAATCAAGATGCATCACAACGAATAATACCAAGCTCAAGCCTAATTTTGCAAAAGCATTCTTCATTTAATGGCTTGGTAAAAATATCCGCTAATTGATTATTTGAACTTACAAATTCAAGAGTAATATGACCGTTTTGCACATGCTCTCTTATAAAGTGATGCCTAATATCAATATGTTTAGTCCTAGAATGATGTATAGGATTTTTAGTCAAATTTATGGCACTTGTATTATCACAAAATATAGACACATTTTCAAACTTTAATCCAAAATCACAAAGAGTTTGTTTCATCCAAAGAATTTGAGCACAACAACTAGCAACCGCAATATATTCTGCTTCGGTAGTTGATAAAGCAACCGAATTTTGCTTTTTACTAAACCAAGAAACTAAGGAACTACCAAGAAATTGGCAAGTCCCACTAGTACTCTTTCGGTCAAGTAAACTACCCRCAAAATCCKCATCGGAATATCCTACSAAATTAAATTCAACATTTCTAGGATACCACAAGCCTAAATCAATAGTTCCAAGCAAATATTTAAAAATTCTTTTAACGGCATGCACATGAGATTCTTTAGGACAAGATTGAAATCTAKCACAAACWCATACACTAAACATAATATCGGGTCTAYTAGCGGTTAAATAAAGTAAAGAGYCAATCATACCTCGATAAGTCTTTACATCCACACATTTATCTTTCTCATCCTTGTCAAGCTTAGTGGATGTGCTCATAGAAGTTTTGGCAATTTTACCTTCATTGAATTTGAACCTTTTGAGCAAATCCCTTGTGTATTTCTCTTGACTTATGAAGATACCATCCTTGAGTTGTTTGATTTGGAGTCCAAGGAAGAAGCTAAGTTCTCCCATCATACTCATTTCAAACTCATTATGCATGCATTTAGAAAATTCCTCACACATAGAAGGATTAGTAGAACCAAAAATAATATCATCCACATATATTTGCACTAGAAGCATATCATTTTCTTTAGACTTAATAAAGAGAGTAGTGTCAATTTTACCCATTTTAAAACCATTCTCAATAAGAAAATTACTAAGTCTATCATACCAAGCTCTTGGAGCTTGTTTTAAACCATAAAGAGTCTTTTTCACATAAACTTCTTCCATAATATAACCATTTAAAAAAGCACTTTTCACATCCATTTGGTATAAAATAAAATTCTTATAAGAAGCAAAAGCAAGTAACATTCTAATGGCTTCTAATCTAGCAACGGGTGCAAAAGTTTCCTCATAATCTATTCCTTCTTCTTGACAATAACCTTGAGCTACAAGTCTAGCTTTATTTCTAATGATATTTCCATTTTCATCAATTTTATTTCTAAAGACCCATTTAGTCCCAATTATAGAAGCATTAGAAGGCCTAGGGACTAATTCCCAAACTTTGTTTCTTTCAAATTGATTTAATTCTTCTTGCATAGCTAAAATCCAAAATTCATCACTTTCGGCATCTTTAAAATTTTTTGGTTCAATTTGAGAAACAAAAGCAATGTTATTAAACATATTAAGGGAAGAACGAGTTTTCACACCTTGTTCGGGATCACCAAGAATTAAATCCTTAGGATGGGATGAAGCATACTTCCACTCCTTAGTCATGGAAGAAAAACCGTCCACCTTATTTTCGTTGATGCTCACTTCTTGCTTACTTGAAGCGATCTCTTTGCTTTTGTCACTAACAAGTAAATCTCAAAAATTTCTTTCTAAATAATCACTACAAAAAGAATCATTAGAAACAACATTGCAAGATTCATCAAATACCACATGCATAGATTCCTCAACTATCAAAGTTCTTTTATTGAAAACTCTATAAGATTTACTAGTAAAGGAATAACCAA